TCATGAGTTGATTAAAGCTTGACCACTATGTAAAACCTGAAATCACTAAACCGATAGTTCCTGTATTCGAATCCTACGAACAGGATCATGGATACGCCGTTCAGTGCTTTCGGGTTTTCCATGATAGTTTAGCTTTAATTGACTCATCAATTCAATAATAGAATATAATACAATGTATTAACTTACTTTTCATTTATATTTATTCGTTTATTGGATATATGATAATAAGTTTTAAGAGTAAATTTAACAAAAAAGAATTTTTTTATACCGAATAATATTTCATATTAATTATAAGAACAATATTCGTTCAAAAAAAAGAAAGAAAAGAAGAGAAAAGGAAAGAAAACAAAAAGACAATCATTCCAATCATATTGTATGAATTTACTATTCAATAGATTTGAATATTTTTCTAATTATAACCAATCAAAATCATCTATTAATATTTTTTTATTTTTTTATTTATAATTGATATTTTGATTCATTTGGTATTGTTTGGCTTCAATCTTCTCAAATAGGATAAAACTCGTGTCCTAGATTCCACTGCTAGTCATTATCCGTATTTATTATTTAGTTGACAAGTAAGACCACACCTTTTATTTGAATAATTATACTTTAAATTGATTAAAATATATAAAAGACGTACTAGGACGAAATGGCTTTCCAGTGTTTCCAGGTTTTTTATGATTGTCTAGGTCATGAATAATATATAATTGATAATGATTGATTAATTTTTTTTCTAGTTTTATTCTAATTGTTATAGTGATTACAATAAATTATTTGAACATTCGATAGGTAATCGAAAAAAAAAACAAGACAAAATGTCACCCTATTAATTCGTTGTAAATAAACATAAATATTTGATCAGAAGGGGTTTTGTAGAGATTTTAGTAATTTCCAAGTTTTCCATGGTAGTCTAGCTTCAATTGACTGATGATTTTAATAAATAATTAATTTTGATTATTTTTCAAAGAAAAAAAATTTAAAAAATTTATTGAAATAACCCTGTTTTATGGATAAATATTAAATGATTGGTTAAAAAACAATAGCCTGTAATAATTGTTAAAAGAAAAATAAAAGAAACACACACATTGCGTTAGATTTACATTGAAGATTTATTATCCTTAATTAGTGGTTAAGTGAATATACATGAAAAGTAAGTCATGTAGTGTATTATATTTGATTTTAAACGTACTTTATATCGTTTCTTTTTTCTTCTTGTTTCATGTCAATATCTAACTTGATAGGATGGTGATACCGTATTTCCTTTTTAAGTGTCTTAATGTAGATTTCAGTTTATTGTTGTTACTTGATAAATATATATTTTAATAGTTGAGACCATATATTAGTTGAAGTTAGACTACCATGGAAAACCTGGAAGCACTAAACGGTGGTTTCGTCCTATGATGGGACTCCTCAGCAGTGCACATCCACGGTCCCGCCTAGCGGGACCCGAGACTTTACTTACTTAATTACTTAGGCGTGTTACCCTCCCTCATTTGAGCATAGGCCGCCGACCAGCACTCCCCAATCCACTCTGTCCTGGGCCTTCATTTCTAGTTCTATCCAATTTTTGTTCATTTTTCTCATGTCTAGCTCCATTTCTCGGCGTAGTGTGTTCTTTGGTCTTCCTCTCCTCCTTCAGCTTTGAGGGTCCCATGTGAGGGTTTGGCTTGTGACGCAGTTGGATGCTTTCCTCAATGTGTTTCCTATCCACTTCCAGCGCTTCTTCCTGATTTCTTCCTCCACTGGGATCTGATTTGTTCTCTCCCACGGTAGGTTGTTGCTGATAGTGTCTGGCTAACTGATTCGAAGTATTTTGCGTAGACAACTGTGAATAAACACCTGTATCTTCTGGGTGATGGCTTTCGTAGTTATCCAGGTTTCCGCCACATATGGTAGAACTGTTTTGACATTTGTATTGAAAATTCTGATTTTGGTGTTGGTTGACAATTGTTTTGATTTCTAGATGTTCTTCAGTTGTAAATATACTGCTCTTGCTTTTCCGATCCACGCCTTCACATCTGCATCAGATCCACCGTATTCATCAATGATGCTACCCAGATATGTAAAGGTTTTAACATTTTCCAAAGCTTTTCCGTCAATTGTGATCGGATTGTTGCATGCTGTGTTGAATGAGAGAAGCTTACTTTTCCCTCTGTGTATATTGAGACCTACTGCTGCTGACGTATACCTATATATTGAATCAGTGTTGATAATCACTCGTTAACGACTAGAATAATTTGAACGCCGCTTTGGGTAAAGCGCTATATAAAGACTTTTATTTTTAAACACATCTATTTTCATAATAAAGCAGTAAAATCCAACTTAATGCACCGTCGTGGCCCTGCAAGATGCTAGGAACAAACCTGTTAGCTAACTTAAGCGATCGACTGAGATAGGACTAACTATCCACTCCGTTTTATCCTTGAATAAGTTAGTTTCCAATTCCGAGCTCACTTAACTTCACAGAGCTATGCGATATATATATATATATATATATATATATATATATATATATATATTTGGTTTATGTAATTCATGTATGCAGATATATGCAAAGGGTATGTGCGTGGCGTCGTACAAAGGAAACGTTGGCTGAAATATTGTTTACCCTATGTCTAATAAAATCAGAGGCCTAATCTATCAGGTCAAAGACAACTACAAGGTTATGGTAACAAATACTAGGAAGAGACGACCAATAACCTCCTTTGAGAGAATGCTTATGTTTATGCGTGTCTCAGGAAATACTGGGGCGGTGGCCATAGACTGAATAATATAATTCATAATTGAAATCTAAATACTGAATTTATCAACTCTGATACATGAAATTCTTTCCCGCATTAAATAAAATGATCAGTAATATATACTAACTTATAATTAAATTTATATGATAAACATAAATTTATCATTTTGATGTACATATCTATCATATTCATGAAATAATCTCCCATTTGTTTGAAAACAATTTTGACAGAGTTCATATCTAATCCATGTCAAGTTCAATATACTATATCATATTGGATTATTGGATACATAATTATGATACTATTAGGATTATTTATATTGAATCAACTCAATATCATTGAAAATCATTGTCAAACTTTATATAATAGAATAGAAAAGAAAAGTAGTATATATAATGTTTCTGACTTACCATTTATATTTATTGGAGGTCATACAAATACAGGTAGATTAGTTTTATTCATTATATTACTGATAAAAGTATAAATATTGCTATACTATTTTATTTGTTAATTTATCAATTAAATAATGACATGCATTGATTTAACTAGTTATGAACAATATGATAATACTTGAAGTTAACAGAATTTAATATTGTGTTTCAAGAAGATTCCAATAAGAAATGAATTTAACTCATAGCGTATTTAGAACATTTTGTAAGATTTATGTTAACGAATGAGGGTCGAGTGAAATTCAATGAAGGTATACTTTTATTACTTACTCGTCTTACCCCTCATAGAGGAGCATAGGCCACTCTCCAGCATTTGCCGCTTGACTTCGTTCTGAGCAATCCTTCATTCATCTGATTGGCGTTTTTTTTTAACGAGTTAGTTATCTATGAGATGGGGTCGCTAACCCCATGCCCAACCCTCCTACCCTGTCCAATCTTGAGATGTGTAGTAGCGCCAAAAGGGGCTCCTGGATGAGGATCTATAGTTATCCGCTAAAAAACATTTAAATATCAGTACCATTAAGAAATTATAAGCCTTGGGAAATCAGACGTTAATTTGATCACTTTCCCATAATATTTTTCTAGGTACTGATCTAATGGGAATTATTCTAAATACTCATTCAATGGTTCGTTGCAAACCTAAACCAATTATAACAAAATTCTTATTGCGATATAGAAAGAACAGACTAAATTCAATGGAGCGATTAGTAGAGTCTGGTATCACTGCAACCGTGTTAAACAATGCTGTGGCTGCATTTATTGCAACGGTAATCAAAGAAATGGGTCCAAGGGCACCTAGACTATGCCACAATGATTTAGAATCATTTGATTATCTTGAAGACTTAAATATCTTGTTTCCAAAAGGAAAGTTTATTCACATAGTGCAAGATGGACGAGCCACTATTGCTTCAGAAATAGCGTAAGTTTTCAACTAAATTTAACTTACTTTATGGATATATTAAATGAGCAATTGTGACACAGTAGTGATTATTTTCATATGACAGATCAATTCTATAGTGTTATGGGTTTACATTAGTGACGTTCTATTTTCTATAAGTTGAAATACACATTCTAAACAATGAGATTCGGCCTCGATGTCAATATTCTTTTGTGAATTATGCTTTAATGTGCTTTGTTATGAATAACATACGATGTTCAAGAATATAACACAGCACAACTTATATAAAAATGTTTATGATAAAAATTCATTATATCTTGAAATGGTGGAGATTTGTAGCTCAGGTGAATGATTTTGATGGTTGTATCCAAAACCATCCAGCTCATAGAACAAAACTCCATCAAAGTCATTGTGTCATTTAGGTATGATATATTGCATAATTAACAGTTTTATAAGCTGTTAATCTAAAGAGTTTAGTCATTGCAAATTCATAATTATATTTATTATAATTACATAATAATAGCATTATTATATCCACTAACATTCCCCATTATAATCAATCTAATGATAATGTTTAATAAAGTTAAATGTACAAATAAAATCAACATTAATCCCTTCATTGTTTATTTTAATTTTCAGTAGAAACATCAATTCTAATTATACATCTGAAAATATCACAGAAGCAATTTTAACTTGGGATGAATTAACAACACAAATATTAGAGGATTGTGAATACATTGGTAGTGAAAAATGTTTAACTATACGTTATGAATGTTTAGTATTGAATCCACTTAGGGAAATCCAGAAAGTCCTCCGTATGTACATATTTGTATTTTGTAATTTTACTAAGTATACATAAAAAATATCACTAGCTGTATATATATATATATATACAGCTAGTGATATTTTTTATGTATACTTAGTAAAATTACAAAATACAAATATGTACATACGGAGGACTTTCTGGATTTCCCTAAGTGGATTCAATACTAAACATTCATAACGTATAGTTAAACATTTTTCACTACCAATGTATTCACAATCCTCTAATATTTGTGTTGTTAATTCATCCCAAGTTAAAATTGCTTCTGTGATATTTTCAGATGTATAATTAGAATTGATGTTTCTACTGAAAATTAAAATAAACAATGAAGGGATTAATGTTGATTTTATTTGTACATTTAACTTTATTAAACATTATCATTAGATTGATTATAATGGGGAATGTTAGTGGATATAATAATGCTATTATTATGTAATTATAATAAATATAATTATGAATTTGCAATGACTAAACTCTTTAGATTAACAGCTTATAAAACTGTTAATTATGCAATATATCATACCTAAATGACACAATGACTTTGATGGAGTTTTGTTCTATGAGCTGGATGGTTTTGGATACAACCATCAAAATCATTCACCTGAGCTACAAATCTCCACCATTTCAAGATATAATGAATTTTTATCATAAACATTTTTATATAAGTTGTGCTGTGTTATATTCTTGAACATCGTATGTTATTCATAACAAAGCACATTAAAGCATAATTCACAAAAGAATATTGACATCGAGGCCGAATCTCATTGTTTAGAATGTGTATTTCAACTTATAGAAAATAGAACGTCACTAATGTAAACCCATAACACTATAGAATTGATCTGTCATATGAAAATAATCACTACTGTGTCACAATTGCTCATTTAATATATCCATAAAGTAAGTTAAATTTAGTTGAAAACTTACGCTATTTCTGAAGCAATAGTGGCTCGTCCATCTTGCACTATGTGAATAAACTTTCCTTTTGGAAACAAGATATTTAAGTCTTCAAGATAATCAAATGATTCTAAATCATTGTGGCATAGTCTAGGTGCCCTTGGACCCATTTCTTTGATTACCGTTGCAATAAATGCAGCCACAGCATTGTTTAACACGGTTGCAGTGATACCAGACTCTACTAATCGCTCCATTGAATTTAGTCTGTTCTTTCTATATCGCAATAAGAATTTTGTTATAATTGGTTTAGGTTTGCAACGAACCATTGAATGAGTATTTAGAATAATTCCCATTAGATCAGTACCTAGAAAAATATTATGGGAAAGTGATCAAATTAACGTCTGATTTCCCAAGGCTTATAATTTCTTAATGGTACTGATATTTAAATGTTTTTTAGCGGATAACTATAGATCCTCATCCAGGAGCCCCTTTTGGCGCTACTACACATCTCAAGATTGGACAGGGTAGGAGGGTTGGGCATGGGGTTAGCGACCCCATCTCATAGATAACTAACTCGTTAAAAAAAACGCCAATCAGATGAATGAAGGATTGCTCAGAACGAAGTCAAGCGGCAAATGCTGGAGAGTGGCCTATGCTCCTCTATGAGGGGTAAGACGAGTAAGTAATAAAAGTATACCTTCATTGAATTTCACTCGACCCTCATTCGTTAACATAAATCTTACAAAATGTTCTAAATACGCTATGAGTTAAATTCATTTCTTATTGGAATCTTCTTGAAACACAATATTAAATTCTGTTAACTTCAAGTATTATCATATTGTTCATAACTAGTTAAATCAATGCATGTCATTATTTAATTGATAAATTAACAAATAAAATAGTATAGCAATATTTATACTTTTATCAGTAATATAATGAATAAAACTAATCTACCTGTATTTGTATGACCTCCAATAAATATAAATGGTAAGTCAGAAACATTATATATACTACTTTTCTTTTCTATTCTATTATATAAAGTTTGACAATGATTTTCAATGATATTGAGTTGATTCAATATAAATAATCCTAATAGTATCATAATTATGTATCCAATAATCCAATATGATATAGTATATTGAACTTGACATGGATTAGATATGAACTCTGTCAAAATTGTTTTCAAACAAATGGGAGATTATTTCATGAATATGATAGATATGTACATCAAAATGATAAATTTATGTTTATCATATAAATTTAATTATAAGTTAGTATATATTACTGATCATTTTATTTAATGCGGGAAAGAATTTCATGTATCAGAGTTGATAAATTCAGTATTTATATTTCAATTATGAATTATATTATTCAGTCTATGGCAACCGCCCCAGTATTTCCTGAGACACGCATAAACATAAGCATTCTCTCAAAGGAGGTTATTGGTCGTCTCTTTCTAGTATTTGTTACCATAACCTTGTAGTTGTCTTTGACCTGATAGATTAGGCCTCTGATTTTATTAGACATAGGGTAAACAATATTTCAGCCAACGTTTCCTTTGTACGACGCCACGCACATACCCTTTGCATATATCTGCATACATGAATTACATAAACCAAATATATATATATATATATATATATATATATATATATATATATATATATATCGCATAGCTCGGTGAAGTTAAGTGAGCTCGGAATTTGAAACTAACTTATTCAAGGATAAAACGGAGTGGATAGTTAGTCCTATCTCAGTCGACCGCTTAAGTTAGCTAACAAGTTTGTTCCTAGCATCTTGCAAGGCCACGACGGTGCCTTAAGTTGGATTTTACTGCTTTATTATAAAAATAGATGTGTTTAAAAATAAAAGTCTTTATATAGCGCTTTACCCAAAGCGGCGTTCAAATTATTCTAGTCGTTAACGAGTGATTATCAACACTGATTCAATATATAGGTATACGTCAGCAGCATTAGGTCTCAATATACACAGAGGGAAAAGCAAGCTTCTCTCATACAACACAGCATGCAACAATCCGATCACAATTGACGGAAAAGCTTTGGAAAATGTTAAAACCTTTACATATCTGGGTAGCATCATTGATGAATACGTTGGATCTGATGCAGATGTGAAGGCGTGGATCGGAAAAGCAAGAGCAGTATATTTACAACTGAAGAACATCTAGAAATCAAAACAATTGTCAACCAACACCAAAATCAGAATTTTCAATACAAATGTCAAAACAGTTCTACCATATGTGGCGGAAACCTGGATAACTACGAAAGCCATCACCCAGAAGATACAGGTGTTTATTTACAGTTGTCTACGCAAAATACTTCGAATCAGTTAGCCAGACACTATCAGCAACAACCTACCGTGGGAGAGAACAACCCAGATCCCAATGGAGGAAGAAATCAGGAAGAAGCTCTGGAAGTGGATAGGATACACATTGAGGAAATCACCGAACTGCGTCACAAGCCAAACCCTCACATGGGACCCCCAAAGCTGAAGGAGGAGAGGAAGACCAAAGAACACACTACGCCGAGAAATGGAGCTAGACATGAGAAAAATGAACAAGAATTGGATAGAACTAGAAAAGAAGGCCCAGGACAGAGTGGATTGGAGAGTGCTGGTCGGCGGCCTATGCTCAAATGAGGGAGGGTAACAGGCCTAAGTAATTAAGTAAGTAAAGTCTCGGGTCCCGCTAGGCGGGACCGTGGATGTGAACTGCTGAGGAGTCCCATCATAGGACGAAACCACCGTTTAGTGCTTCCAGGTTTTCCATGGTAGTCTAATTTCAATTAATATTTGGTCTCAACTATTAAAATATATATTTATCAAGTAACAACAATAAACTGAAATCTACATTAAGACACTTAAAAAGGAAATACGATATCACCATCCAATCAAGTTAGATATTGAAATGAAACAAGAAGAAAAAAGAAACGATATAAAGTACATTTAAAATCAAATATAATACACTACATGACTTACTTTTCATGTATATTTACTTAACCACTAATTAATGATAATAAATCTTCAATGTAAATCTAACACAATGTGTGTGTTTCTTTTATTTTTCTCTTAACAATTACTACAGGGTATTGTTTTTTAACCAATCATTTAATATTTATCCATAAAACAGGGTTATTTCAACAAATTTTTTAAATTTTTTTTCTTTGAAAAACAATCAAATTTAATTATTTATTAAAATCATGAGTCAATTGAAGCTAGACTACCATGGAAAACTTGGAAATTACTAAAATCTCTACAAAACCCCTTCTGATTAAATATTTATGTTTATTTACAACGAATTAATAGGGTGACACTTTGTCTTGTTTTTTTTTTCGATTACCTATCGAATGTTCAAATAATTTATTGTAATCACTATAACAATTAGAATAAAACTAGAAAAAAAATTAATCAATCATTATCAATTATATATTATTCATGACCTAGACAATCATAAAAAACCTGGAAACACTGGAAAGCCATTTCGTCCTAGTACGTCTTTTATATATTTTAATCAATTTAAAGTATAATTATTCAAATAAAAGGTGTGGTCTTACTTGTCAACTAAATAATAAATACGGATAATGACTAGCAGTGGAATCTAGGACACGAGTTTTATCCTATTTGAGAAGATTGAAGCCAAACAATACCAAATGAATCAAAATATCAATTATAAATAAAAAAATAAAAAAATATTAATAGATGATTTTGATTGGTTATAATTAGAAAAATATTCAAATCTATTGAATAGTAAATTCATACAATATGATTGGAATGATTGTCTTTTTGTTTTCTTTCCTTTTCTCTTCTTTTCTTTCTTTTTTTTGAACGAATATTGTTCTTATAATTAATATGAAATATTATTCGGTATAAAAAAATTCTTTTTTGTTAAATTTACTCTTAAAACTTATTATCATATATCCAATAAACGAATAAATATAAATGAAAAGTAAGTTAATACATTGTATTATATTCTATTATTGAATTGATGAGTCAATTAAAGCTAAACTATCATGGAAAACCCGAAAGCACTGAACGGCGTATCCATGATCCTGTTCGTAGGATTCGAATACAGGAACTATCGGTTTAGTGATTTCAGGTTTTACATAGTGGTCAAGCTTTAATCAACTCATGAATTTTAACTGCAAAATTATTAAAATTTCCATAAAACACCCTTCTGGTAATGTATCATACTCAGTATAAGATATACATTGTTTTTTTATTCATTTTATCTAAATGTTTATATTGATTAAGGGGATATAGTAAATGATGATTATTGGTTTTTTGAAGAAACGTTTTTAGTTTGTAATTGATAAATTAACACCTCTATGACCTTTGATGAACTTTAATTATTGTAACAAAAACATTTTAATTTGAACGGTTGAGATCATGAGTCAAGTAAAGCTAGACCCCCATGGAAAACCTTGAAGCATTGGATATCCGTTTCGTTCAAGTATGGGATTCCTCATCAGTGCGCATCCACGACACATCCATCAATGTCTTCAGTGAGTTATTATCTGAGGAGTCCCACAACAGGACGAAACGGCCGTCTAGTGCTTTCAGGTTTTCCATGATGGTTTGGCTTCGACTGACACGTGATCTCAACTATTGGAGTCATAATAATATCCCCAAAAACCCATTCGATGTAAAAAAAAACATTTTAATCATTTTAATCATCTTATTATATTCACTAAATCTATTGTTATTATTCGTATTACGTAATCCACTATTATAATCTTTTTATTGCGTCATCTTGATTATTTGCGTTCGCATTTCCTCACGGAATTAGTACTTAACCAAAAAGCTTTTCATTTATATATACGACTGTACAATTTGATAATAAATTCGTTGAAAAGAGATCCCTCCACTGATCTACGGTACTGAGTTTGATTCCCAGAGTGAACATCAACTCTGAGATACGCAGCTGACGAGTCCCAAATAGGACGCAACACGTATCCTGGATTCCACTGTTAGCCATCATACATATCTGCTTATAACACTTCTCGATTATGTTTAAACTGTGTGACTTCTCAGCTAGGAAGTAATCATTGATTTTTGTTCCCTAACCAATTCGCAATCCCGTTCATTCATGACATCAGGTTAAATGTAATACTGGTGATTTTTGTTTTTAAATAAATACAATTAAGAAGAAAATTGTCATGACTTGTTAACAAAGTTTCTATTCAGCACTTGCAGTGTTAGACTAAACTCATTTTAACCGCTAGTTTTCAATACTTATTTCGATTGTTAGAGGAAATTTCTTCACTTAAACATTGTTGAATTTTGGTATTATTAGACAAATGTAAATAAATATGAGAATGTTGATATGTAGGTTGTATGGTAATATGTAGTTTCCCACTTTTTTTCTGTTTATTAATCTTCAGGTTTAATTTTTATGATAGTCGAACAATATAAGTTAATGGTACTGTAGTGTGTGCTACTGATATCGACAGATATAAGTAGTATGCATCAACAGTTGAAGGTAAAATACCTGGTGGCAGATGTTTAAGACAATTGAAGAGAAGAAAGCAAGAACAGAGAATGATTGATGTAGAAACAAATTAACTATCAAGTCAAAGACAATTGATTGACATTTTGCAAATGAAGTATTTACTGTATGGTTCTTAGATTTTACTAAGACGCTCTGTAATTTTGTATACAAACATATTCGGCCGTCTCCACTTGTATTCTCGTTCACTACAGTATTATAGTACGCTATTGAAATACTCTAGTAAACTGTATATTAGTTTTCATTAAGATAAGTTGTCAAAGATCATACCTCTATATAAATAGTTTCCACTTTCGCGAGGTAGGATTATTTCTCACTATTAATTCTTTTCATCAAGCAGAATCTAATGGAAAAACATGACTTGTTGTCTACTTATAAAAATATTTCAGTAGTTTAAGTCTAAACTAAACGGATATTTATATTTACCTGATGCAGTAGTATAAATCGCATACATGTCTATGAAATTAAGCCATCGATACTCTGAAGATGGAATAAGTTTTCAATAAAGATATTAAGTGTATGTAAAGAAGTGGAATTCAGAATTCCATTTTCTCTTTGAAAAAAATACTTGGAATTTTCTTCTTAAATGTTATTGATCATAAAACAGGTCAGAACAATACCTTGTTTTATCATACAAATTTTTCAGAATACACATTTAGGATATGCTATGGACAGTTTAAGATATTTCTCCATGTTATTGGATGGTTCAGTATTATGCTATTGGGATTAAATATATTTAATCGAATCAACTCTATTAAGTATCAATTTCAAGTATTATCTGAATTACAAAAAAACAATATCAACCAATATGATCCAAGTGATTCACCTTTTATATTTATTGGAGGACATCAAAGTACAGGTAAACTAGATTTTCCAATAACATTAAATAATAAAAGTAATGATAATAGTTTATTTCTGAATGAGGTTTGTGGAGATTGTAATAATTTTTTATTAGTTGAATTCATGAGTCGATCTATTCTAGCCATTCTAATATTAATCATATACTCACAAGCGACTAACCTAAAGATGAAACTCTTGTAGTTCTAGTGAGAAGTCATGATTAGTGGAGTCCAATCCGTGTCGGGATGAGACAGTTATCCATTTTAGACAATGACTGAAGGGCTGCGCAAGATCATGATAATAACATCCGTCGGATGCTGACTCAGTGGTCTAAAAGTTTGATGTTCGCGCGAAACCAAGGGTTCTAGGTCCGAGCCATACGTGCGGGATCGAGGAGGATTCCCATACTATAAGTAAACGGCCGTTCAGTGCTCCCGAGTTTTCAATGGTGGTCTGGCTTAGATCGACCTTTGAATTCAAATATTAATCTTATGTTGTTAGTTTCATTTTAACAAGTTATGATGTTATCTTTACAACTATTTGTACAGAGGACTGCCTACAACATCACATAATTTAAATCATGGCCATTCTAGACCTAGTAATTACCTATTGTTTATTCAAATTCACTGTTGAGAGATCGTCTTGCATTTGAGTGTCCAGTCACTATTATATATTGTTGTCAATTTATCACTACGAAGTCATAAGTTTCAAATGCAATCTCCCATACAAATGAATGTACAGAACGTTGTAGATAAAGCGGTAGTGTTACACGCCAATTCAATTTCATTAGGTGTTTCTCTTATAGTACCAATTAAAGATTGCTAATTTTCCTTTAGATAATTTAAATTATTTTATATAGATCCAGATATAAACAATATTTAGTAGCAAAAAATTTGTATAACTGCTGATGTAAAACTATTATATTTGATCTGTGACATATCTAACAGATTGGAGTAAAATGTGCTGTATGAAAGTATTCACCATATTAATATTTCGTTTTATTTCAGGTACTGGATTAATGCGCATTCTTATGGACATTCATCCATTAGTTCGTTGTGGACCTGAACCAGTCGTGACTAGGGAGCTATTAAGGTATAGAAGACATTTGGAGACCATGAGTGATCTATTGTCACAGTCTGGGATTACTGAAAATTTGTTGGATGATGCCAGTGCAGCATTTATTGCAACAATTATTCAAGAAATGGGCCCTCAAGCTCCAAGACTTTGTCACAAGGATCCCTCATCATTTATATATCTCGAGGAACTGGCTGATATATTTCCGAAAGCAAAATTTATTCATATGCTTAGGGACGGAAGAGCTGCTATTGCGTCTACAATACAGTAAGTATGTCTATGTAGATTAAAAAAGCATTGTCAAGTTATTATTCAATATAATTATTATAAAACTTAACAATTCAATCGACGACGACGAAAAAGACAAGTTTTACGAGAGGATTCACTTGACCATAGTGAAGTTCTCAAAAAAGGACCTGAGTATCCTAATGGGAGATCTAAACGCCAAAGTCGGAACGGAAAACACCGGATACGATGGAACGGCATAGACTGCGAGAAAGGGACGAGAATGTGGAGAGATTTGCAAATTTAAGTGAATTCAGCAATATGGTCTTAGGTGTCACAACATTTCTACACAAACTCATTCACTAAGCTACATGTGTCTCATCGGGTCACAGCACGGAGAATCACATAGATCATATTTGTATCAATAAAAAGCTCAGAAGGACAATGGAAGATGTGAGAACCAGGAGAGGATCTGATATAGATTCAGATCACCACTTAGTGGTTGCCAAGATGAAGCTGAAGCTACAGAAACACTGGACAACTGGACAAACAGCACTACAAAAGTTCAACGGTGGTCTAGCTTCGATTGGCTCATGATCTCAACCATTGAAATTACTATAATATCCACAAAAACCCTTTTGACATAAATAAACAATTGTTCGAAAATTTTAACTATCAAAAAAGGATTCCTAAATGATCGTTAAATTCAAAAAGGGATAACAAGGAAAAACAAAATTTATGTTAAGCATAAATGTTCACTTGATAAAGATGAGAGGGGTAGTCAATAAATATACGGTAGTGTCGGTTATTATGTTAAACCAATATAAAATCAACATTAATCCCTTCATTGTTTATTTTAATTTTCAGTAGAAACATCAATTCTAATTATACATCTGAAAATATCACAGAAGCAATTTTAACTTGGGATGAATTAACAACACAAATATTAGAGGATTGTGAATACATTGGTAGTGAAAAATGTTTAACTATACGTTATGAATGTTTAGTATTGAATCCACTTAGGGAAATCCAGAAAGTCCTCCGTATGTACATATTTGTATTTTGTAATTTTACTAAGTATACATAAAAAATATCACTAGCTGTATATATATATATATATAATATATATATATATATATATATATATATATATTATTATAATCTGCTTAGAGTACCACCAATTTACTTTGCGTGTCTGATTAGTGAATCCAAAGTACGTTATTAAGTGTATGCTATTAACATCTGCAACTTTTAGTATTCACGAGTCTATTAAAGCAACATCAATGTTGAAAACTTGCAAGCACTGGACAGCCAATTCATCCTAGTATGAGACTCCTCAGAACTGCGCATCAACGATCCCGCACTAAAAAGGGCTATAAACTAGGATATTCGGTCTCGAGTACGAATAATCAAAATCTAGAATACAGAACCGGCATCTAATGGTTAATGTCAAACTTTCAACTAATCCACGAAATGGCACGAACGTCCATGAATTTAACCACTAAATTACTACAATCCCACAAAACACCCTTTCTGATAATAATCATCATGTGCCCACTAGTGACTGTCTTCAAGATTTATTTCATAGAGTTCTAGTGAGTATCCATGACCACAAGATTTCAAACGTATCTTTTGAGAAACAGTTAATTACTGAAGACAATAGTGGATGGCAGTGCTCTATTCGACTATTTAACTCAAATATTAATTACCACAATCTAGACAAAACCACCTTCCTGATAACTTTCGATATCTCAATTGAGAATTATGCATTCGCCAGCAAAGGATGAGGAAAGGCATTTCAATAATTACATTCCATAGTGTTTGGTCGCCTAGAGCATAACATGTGTGTCACGTTTAAAAGCATAACATTTTGCTGAAATCACATTTATTCGCCTCTCTCTCAATGGATTCTATATATATATCTATAAAATCAGAGAAAAATATTATCCAGAAAACAAGAATCATTACATTCAATTATCAAAGTAAATCCAACTGCTAAACTTGTTTTATATCAACCTAATTACAGAAAAATATGACCAAACTACAAACTAGACATTTCGTAAGAGTATAATGATGCGATCATCAAATTTTCAACAAACAAACACGTTTAGTTATATTCATAAGAATGGGGATTTGTACATCAGGTTGAAGTGCATTGAATGATAACAAGTATTTCAAACGAAAGTAAGCTAATGAGAACACACCTCTAAATATGAATTATTTTAATATGGTACAGTTCGATCTCAGAATAAATAAATCAATAAATAAATCTTATGATGATTATTCTCATCCTAAAAATGTTTTTCACTTTTCCTCTTCGAAAATTATTTCCCGTACTTATTTCTGTTTCATCGATATTCTACTTATTATAAATCAGTAGTCTCAGTTGTATTTATCAATTTGTGTCATTTGGAAATCTTAACGAGTTACTTCTTCAACATACTTGTTAAGAGGTTCTTCACTACTTTTCATATTTATGGAAAGATTTCCGAATATTTGCTAGACAAAATCTCCCTCATGTTCTTCAATTTCAATTTCGTCTGATTTGAACCCCTTGCCTATGTTCATTTAATAGTAGGTTATTTTCCATTAAGTAATTACTCAACACTTGTCTCATCCTTTCATCACTTCTTTTATTCTAGTCAGTCTTGGATTTCTAACTATAAATCCATGTTTATAATCAAAGTTTTCTTCATGGAAGTAGATCTAGCTGTGTCCGATTAACCTGAATAGTTCACACTCCCATGTCTTTATATTCAGAGTACAATATTTGTTTAACAATAAATCTCCTCACATTCACATAAACCTATAATGGAATGATGAAATTTTCTAATGTTCCACTAACTTACTCACCGGTTTAAAATCTCTCAAGCTTTATATCATTTATGATTGCTTATACATTAATTAACAACTACACTTTCCTACTTTTCAGACTTTCTCGAATTGCCATGGGATGAAAAACTACTTAAGTATGCAAAATATCCTCTGGATAAGTTTATATTAAAATAATAATTGATTAGATTGTTTATTGCATATGGGAATTTATACTAAATCAAATAAGGTAGAAACTTTCTTAGTAGGAAATAAAATTGCCACATGGATATCTCAAACATCGAAGAATAGCGAGAGGATATTTTTCAACATCACGTTCAGCTATATTAAACAAGAAATTTCGAGTTTGAATGATTCGTGAAGTGCTTAAAAGATGAGTCAGCAAAGGTACTAATCAATCAATCAATCAATCAATCAAATAGACCGAAATAGGTAGTTTTGAAATATTCAGATGACATGTCAACCAGTTACAAAGTTTACTGAATGTTGATGAGAATTCCAACAGCATCAACAGTTACTGATAAATGTGAAGGGAATGGTTACAGCTACATAGGAGAAGAAAACAATATAAATCTCGAAAAATTTGGAAATCGATGGAGAAGAGAAAAAATTGATCATTCGTCTCACACATTACTCATAGGTATGTTGATGACTAACATAGGGTGATCAAAGATAAAAACACCTCACGCTTTCACAAATCTAGTTTCTTACCATTGCTTCCGTTACATTAGCATTTATGTGGAAGAGATGCTCGTCAACTATAAGGTTATTTAGGCGAAATATAGTAAACAATTATATGTAAATTTATATATTCATCCAGTTTTCAAGGCTAACACTCGTTTTCCTATTTCATTTGGAAAATTATTTCACGATATGCATTTTCACTAAATACAATTAAGTGGTTTACAATTCAGTAGTTATTAACTACGACTTCATCACTAGTTCGATTATGGATATACGATATCAACTGTACAGACTGGCTCCATCGTACGAATATGAATGTGATTTTAACACACAATCATACTATCAAACTACTTTATGGAAAGTCAAGTCACGTTATTCAAACTCTCCTCATTCCATCATGGACAGCTAAATTAATTAGATAGTTGTTAACAATATGTCTTTCAATTTGAAAACAACACCAAGTCACATTCAAATGAATCATTCCAAAATAATTCGGCAACAAGAGAATGGGTGCCACTGCTTATGTAACAGGAATATTCAAGGCAAAACTGTCTAGAAATGATTTACTTTAAACATATTTAACTTGTTCTTGCACCCCGATTTAATTTGTTTCATATTATTTCACATATCAATTCCGCAGATATGGAACTGAATTCAGTCGAACAGATCAGTTAATTCACAACAGTTCTCTAGATGCGTGGTCAGAGGCAAATTCACTTCTATCGGAAGAATATATCAAGTTCATGAATGAAAATAGCTTAGCACTAAAACAGTTGAATTATCTTACAGATAAAATCCCACCGAATTATGCTACAATCTGCAACATCTAAACTATTCTGAAAAAAAACACATAGTTAGTATCAGGTTCAAATATGATACCTTGAATTTGTATCTATAAGAAAATATCTCTGTTCATTAGTGTACATTGTGTGTATTGGGTGTATTGTGTTTACGTAGAAACTGTATTTTTGTACACATTGAAGCAATGAATTTGTGATTTCATGGGAAGAAATAATCGTTTGACATGTTACAGCACTGTGTTATTTTCTAAGATAAACAATAAATAAATTGTATTGATTTACCAGTATTGTCACTAAGGGAAATCATTCTCGTTTTTGGTGAAATAAACGACAAACCGACTCACATTAAAAACTTTCTTGAACTATCGTTCCTCAAATTCGAATAGAGTAACGAATTAATAGAATGAGAATTTACAGTTATTATTAAAATGAAAACAGAATGCTGGACCATTAATGCCAAAATAGAATAAATATTCACTTCATATTCAGTGACCACAAGAAACTGGTAACTTTCATTAAAATCATTCTGAAATCAACCCTTCAATCAAGAGAAAAAGCAGAGAATTATTCTGTTTATAATTTCAAACTAGAATGAGATGTAGCAATTACTATGAGTATACAACATGAAGTTAGTTAAAAGTTATTGTGAATACACATAACAAATATTGTTGAGTCAATGATCCAGGAAACCCCAAAATAATTGAATAGGAGTTGATAGGTTATCATTTTATAGTGAAGACATTTCTCGGTTACTAAGATTAGATATAATCTCCAATGATCAGTAAGCAACTAGACACTTCAGTGATGAGGAATAACGTGAGTTTACATCAATCAAGCTACACATAGAACAAAGAATTGTGAAAAAATAAATTCGAAAAGCAACTGATTCTATCGAACAGACGTAATAATAGAAAACAAATTTGACATTGTGACACTGAACACTCGAGTATTTAGTAATAATTCGCTTTCGTTACACAAGAGATTACTGTAAATTGATAGATAGGGTAATGACAAATAAGATTGACATAATTAATGCATGACGTGCAATACGACCACATTCAATATTTGAAAACGTCAACTTACTGACCCGTTACAAAAAAGCGTTTCGAAAAGTTCACTAATGTAAGGTCATTCTACTGTACATTGTACAGTATAGAGGACATCAAATGAAATCAAAGATAGGTTTAAATATTTCGTGCACGAATTGAAGTACAGTGGTCAAAATAAATCAATTCATGTAAAATATATACAAGTCAAATGGTCTTCCAATTCATAATAAAATCACAATACCAGATGAGAAATAAATCGCTCAACAACTAACCTTCATAATATCTTTCCTTTTTTAAACGTCAGGAGAAATAATACGAACTAATGTAAACTAATAAAATCACGCGAAACATCTAGGAGAAAATACGAAACATACAATTTATAATATTCTGTTACGATTTCATTCAAACATTACAAGATGAATATCAGCAAATGCCGAAGTAAACAAGATCACACAATGTCGAGTAAGTCTCACACATAATATCCATCCATGAAACGAATTAAAACAGTCTAGCCGATTACAACTATGTACCTGAAAATTATATCCAGATATGATTTCAACGCCAGAATATTCAGTGGAACAATCGTTTTATTCACTAAATCCAGATCAAGAAAATAAAACAATGCAAGTAACAGTATATGTATATTTATTGACTAGGGTACAGACATTTAAATCTAGTCATTAATAGCTGAATCAGTGTAGAAGTATTACAAAACCTAAAAGCAGTCATAATTCGTCACATAACACTCATCTCAGCATCATTTTTTTGTAATGTTCACATCGTCTGCAACAGGCTCATCCACCACTTCCACATCCTCCGTTTTCTTTTCACTCTTCGCTCCTACCGGATGACCCTTATGATCGTCATCCTCATCCTCATCCTTCTCAACCTTTTCGTTCTTTTCATCCTTTTCATCCTCATCCTCATCATGACTATCTTTTTCTACCCTCTTCGCTGATTTATCAACCTTCACATCCTTCCCCTTTTTAGCAGTGGCAGTAGTAGTGTCATTTGCAGCAGCACGAACATCCTCATATAACACAGTCATACAAAGTAGAAACAGTGTCAACTTGAGGAACATGATAGAATAGTTGAACAGATTGAACGTTAACTACAAACGGAATGATTTCACTACTACACATAAGCATATATATACGTGTATATCATATGGACACACCAAATCGATGGCAAATCGAACCAACTAATGTTAGTGTATGAAAGGTGGAATTGAGCATTTTTGATCAAAATATCTGAAAACATTTATTGGAAAACATGGTTGTCATTCTGATGAATCGATTTGACAATCAAAAATATTTTGTCACCCTACAATGATTTCCTATTGTTTTTCCATTGGTAAGTTCAGTCTTTTGCTCTGAATAGAAATCGTCATAGCAAGGAGTGCTGAAGAGATTTTTGGTGTCAGTATTTTAGGCTGAATATTTGATGTTTAGTTTATGTCTACGGTTTCTTCAGATTAGACGATTATGCGTGTGATCAGTTGGTTGAGGTTCTTAGAATGTAATTTAACATATTACACATTGTTTAGTGGAGTGTTTTGAAAATCTTTTTGACAGAAGGCCCATTCACAACCACTAACGTTTTAGTGTTGAAACGAAAAATATCGTCTTCGAGCATGTTGCTAAATATATTGGATCACAAGAAGTCTATGATCTACAATACCGTTCAACAAATTTCAAGAAATGTCTTTTCTTTGAATTGCTTAATTAACATGATATGAAAAATATCCTAATCTCTATTGGTAAGTCAACCAACAGAACCATTTAAAATTCCATACGATCAGACCCCGTGATAAATTGGAATGGGGAAAAATGACAGGTTTTGTAGAGTCAAATGAATGCAGTCCGTTTCATGGCTTCACATCAGTTGAATACAATCTCAAGTAGTAACTGTTTCTTACATATCCATAATGATGTTTACACATTTATTTAATTTCTAAACATCTCGAGGGATTACACAATCACTCACTGATTTCATTGATTTGTTTGTTTTGTTTATAAATCCTGACAACTAAAAGACAGTTGAATACGATCTCAAGTAGTAACTAACGATACCTGTCTAACAAATGTTTGAGTTATCTTAATTTGTGAAATTTTGATCAATTTTTTGAAACGAAATCAAAACCATAATAAGTCTAGGCACAGGTCACTAAATGTATCGGTAAATGTAGTTTAGATGGTTTGACATTCGTATGTTTATAGTTGGATATGTCTTTCAGTTGTCAGGATTTATAAACAAAACAAACAAATCAATGAAATCAGTGAGTGATTGTGTAATCCCTCGAGATGTTTAGAAATTAAATAAATGTGTAAACATCATTATGGATATGTAAGAAACAGTTACTACTTGAGATTGTATTCAACTGATGTGAAGCCATGAAACGGACTGCATTCATTTGACTCTACAAAACCTGTCATTTTTCCCCATTCCAATTTATCACGGGGTCTGATCGTATGGAATTTTAAATGGTTCTGTTGGTTGACTTACCAATAGAGATTAGGATATTTTTCATATCATGTTAATTAAGCAATTCAAAGAAAAGACATTTCTTGAAATTTGTTGAACGGTATTGTAGATCATAGACTTCTTGTGATCCAATATATTTAGCAACATGCTCGAAGACGATATTTTTCGTTTCAACACTAAAACGTTAGTGGTTGTGAATGGGCCTTCTGTCAAAAAGATTTTCAAAACACTCCACTAAACAATGTGTAATATGTTAAATTACATTCTAAGAACCTCAACCAACTGATCACACGCATAATCGTCTAATCTGAAGAAACCGTAGACATAAACTAAACATCAAATATTCAGCCTAAAATACTGACACCAAAAATCTCTTCAGCACTCCTTGCTATGACGATTTCTATTCAGAGCAAAAGACTGAACTTACCAATGGAAAAACAATAGGAAATCATTGTAGGGTGACAAAATATTTTTGATTGTCAAATCGATTCATCAGAATGACAACCATGTTTTCCAATAAATGTTTTCAGATATTTTGATCAAAAATGCTCAATTCCACCTTTCATACACTAACATTAGTTGGTTCGATTTGCCATCGATTTGGTGTGTCCATATGATATACACGTATATATATGCTTATGTGTAGTAGTGAAATCATTCCGTTTGTAGTTAACGTTCAATCTGTTCAACTATTCTATCATGTTCCTCAAGTTGACACTGTTTCTACTTTGTATGACTGTGTTATATGAGGATGTTCGTGCTGCTGCAAATGACACTACTACTGCCACTGCTAAAAAGGGGAAGGATGTGAAGGTTGATAAATCAGCGAAGAGGGTAGAAAAAGATAGTCATGATGAGGATGAGGATGAAAAGGATGAAAAGAACGAAAAGGTTGAGAAGGATGAGGATGAGGATGACGATCATAAGGGTCATCCGGTAGGAGCGAAGAGTGAAAAGAAAACGGAGGATGTGGAAGTGGTGGATGAGCCTGTTGCAGACGATGTGAACATTACAAAAAAATGATGCTGAGATGAGTGTTATGTGACGAATTATGACTGCTTTTAGGTTTTGTAATACTTCTACACTGATTCAGCTATTAATGACTAAATTTAAATGTCTGTACCCTAGTCAATAAATATACATATACTGTTACTTGCATTGTTTTATTTTCTTGATCTGGATTTAGTGAATAAAACGATTGTTCCACTGAATATTCTGGCGTTGAAATCATATCTGGATATAATTTTCAGGTACATAGTTGTAATCGGCTAGACTGTTTTAATTCGTTTCATGGATGGATATTATGTGTGAGACTTACTCGACATTGTGTGATCTTGTTTACTTCGGCATTTGCTGATATTCATCTTGTAATGTTTGAATGAAATCGTAACAGAATATTATAAATTGTATGTTTCGTATTTTCTCCTAGATGTTTCGCGTGATTTTATTAGTTTACATTAGTTCGTATTATTTCTCCTGACGTTTAAAAAAGGAAAG